GAGGACGAATAGCTAGAGACTTTTATAGCAGGAAATTTTTTCGATGCTACCATTAAGTGATTGGAATAGCTTTAACAAAAAACACTGATGTCTCTGCATAAACTCGAAGCTGGTTCTCAACATATTACATGGAATTCAAAATTGACTGGTTATCTCGTTTCGGGTAGTTATCTATGGTTTATTTTTTACAGTATTAATGACTATTTAAATATTTTCAAAGTCATGGTACAGTTTATTAATCTATGAAATGCAATTACGAATTTTAGAAATGAATACCGCATCTTCGGCATGATTATGTAATAAAAAATGGACATGATTTGAAGCTCAGGTGGATGCTCTTAGTTTAACTGAAGTGATTTCACCGTCATTCTCTACAGTATCATCATCCCTGCTTCAGCATTTCACTAATATATCAATCCTGAAGGTTTTGTCTATAGTCCGTTGCTTTTAATAACTGTTTTTAACTCAAGTTGGTGATGTTGTTTAGAAGTGTAAACAAGATTTCATCAGTTAAACTAACCAGGTCAGGAAATAAACATAACACAGCTAAGTAAAGAAGATTCACGGACATACAACTGCCTACTTTGTGCAGTTCATTATTTTTCAAATACTTTACCTCTTGTTTAAATCTAAAATAAATATACATTGTTTAGCTGTTAAAGAAAATAGTGAAGGGAACAAAACGTAATCTAATATGTCATTTTTATCCATTCTATTTTCATAACACACGTTGTAAACAAGGTTTCAACCCCGTCTATCTTTCATTCGAAGTGAATTATTTCCACTGAAACTATTAAGTTGTCGTATCTTAAGTTTATCGATTTATTCAACTAGACAACTCATTTATTACATACTTTTGTGCAGCCTATAATTTACTACACTAAGATAAAAAATTATAATGAATCGAAATGTTATAAAAAATTGAAAGAAAATTATGATTGGTCACTTTATTAGGATAAACCAATCAGCTGTTGATTTTTGTTGAAAACAAGAAATTTAAGGAAAAATAAAAACAAAAGAACAAAGTGAAGGGTAGTGAGAGTAAGATAATTATTTAACTGAACAGTGTTGAATTACGAATACAAACATACAGAAGTAGATATATGCACAAGTAATTGATAAAAGTTAAATGATTTAACGGGAAACTAATGCTCATCAACACACATCCATATATATATATATATATATATATATATATATATATATATATATATATATAAAGTTTTGCCCAAGTGAATATATGTCAAATACTCATATGAAAAAACAGAAAATAATTTAGCATAAACTGTCCTAAAACTAAACGATTTCCTCGAGATAATGATGTTTTGAATGCATAGTTGTATGATTTTATTATTGTGTCAATGCAAATGATGATTTTTAATACAATCAATTATCCGAATACCATCAGATTATTCTAAAAAGTTCGAAGGAAATAACAATCATGAGACAAATTATAGAGTGTAATTCACAGTTGTGACTATACAAAAATATATCACTTTACTATAAAATAGTAAGTTTAAAAATAATTTGAGATATGTGTGCTATTAATAGTACGTTTCAGCAGCCAAAAATTTGTTGTTAATGTAAATAAAATCCTTTTACATTTTTCAACTTTGATTCATGACACATAAATGTGCTCAAATTTTGTTGTTTTCATTTTCATATAAATAAAAATATATAAGTAAAATAACCGTTTAATTGAAACTCTATTTGTAATTTATTATGGTGCCAATGAAAGGATTATACCATAAAACCATACCTTAATCAGTAGGATCTATTATGGAGTAACCCCCTTGAAAACAATTAGATCATTGTAGTATGTCACTAGTTTGGGTTAAATTATTTTTAGTTCGTTTTATATACTGTTCACCCGCATCAACTAATTTCACGCAAAATCTATCTTTATTTCAGACAATTTTTTTAAAGAAAAATTTAAATTTCTTTATTAGGATAAAGCTCACTTAAACCCATTTGTAAAGCCATTCAAATTTGAAAGGAATCTTTTTTTCGCGGAATACTTAAAATAATTGTATTATATAGTATGAAACGAAATAGTTAATTACTTCTTCAGATATCTCTTAAACCTACTATTATATATATAATATATACAACTGAGACGACTTTATCATGTGATGTACAGTTTCGATACAAACAAACAAATTTGTAATATTAATAGGCTAATATTTAAAATGGAGATTTCATAGAGTTTCAAATCGTTCAGATTAAAGCGTTCCAGAGATTACAGTACTCAATACTTCGTAAAATTTAGCATACACTATATTCCGATATTAAGTGAATGTTTAAAATACAATTATTGGTTATCATGGTAACCGAGTTCGTTTTACATAAAGCATCATAAACAAAATACTCATAACTTACAAGATTTCCTATTTAGACATTTTATAATGATTATTACTATTATTATTTAAACCTACGTAAACTAGAGATTTTTGTGTTCATAAAGCATCTGACATTTATTTCTCT